TGCCGTGGATGTCTATGTGCATACACATTATTTAAGATGTTGTATGTCTGTGTTCATTTGTTTTTGGAAACTATATCATGTCGTAGATGTCTGTGTGCATGGAAATTATACAAGATCTTGGATGTCTGTGTGTATGAAAACTGTAGATGTCTGTATGTAAGGAAACTATTTCGCTGATGTCTGTGTTTATGGCAACTATATCATGTCGCGGATGTCCGTGTGCATGGAAGTTATATATGATCTGGGATGTCTCTGTGTATGGAAACTATATCAGATCTTAGATGCCTGTGGGTATGGAAACTTTATAAGATCTCGGATTTTTGTGTATATGAAAAACCTTATCATATTGTGCATGTCTGTGTGTATGGAAACTTTATCGTGGATGTCTGTGCGTATGTGAAACTGCTTTTACCCCCTTGCCTGAACACGTTTGTGTCTGTCTGTCTGTCTGTCTGTCTGTCGGTCGGTCGGTCGGTCGGTCGGTCGGTCGGTCGGTCGATCTGTCTGTCTGTCTGTCTGTCTGTCTGTCTGTCTGTCTGTCTGTCTGTCTGTCTGTCTGTCTGTCTGTCTGTCTGTCTGTGTGTCTGTCTGTCTGTGTGTGTGTCTGTGTGTGTGTGCGTGCGTGCGTGCGTGTTTGTGTGTGTGCGCGTGTGTGCGTATGTGTGTGCGCGTCTGTGTGCGTGCGTGTGTGTTTGTATGTGTTTATGTGTGGTGTGTGTGTGTGTGTGTGTGTGTGTGTGTGCGTGTGTGCGCGCGTGTGTGCGCGCGCGTGTGTGTGTGCGCGCGCGTGTGTGTGTGCGTGTGTATGTATGTGTGATTGTAATATGTATGTATGTATGTATGTATGTATGTATGTATGTATGTATGTATGTATGTATGTATGTATGTATGTATGTATTGTATGTATGTATGTTGATTATGTGTATGTATGTATGTATGTATGTATGTATGTATGTATGTATGATGTGATGTATGTATGTATGGTACTTGTTGTATGTATGTATGTACGTATGTATGTATGTATGTATTCTGTAGCTGTCTGTCTGTCTGTATGTCTGTAATCTGTATGTCTGGTATGTGGTGTATGTGTGCGTTGTATGTGTGTGTGTGTGTGTGTGTGTGTGTGTTTTTGTGTGTATGTGTGTATGTGTGTGTGTGTTTTTGTGTGTGTGTTGTGTGTGTTTGTGTGTAGGTGTATGTGTGTATGTGTGTATGTTGTATGTGTGTATGTGTGTATGTGTGTGTGTATGGTGTATGTGTTGTATGTGTGTATGTTGTATGTGTTATGTGTGTATGTGGTTTTTTGTATGTGTGTTTGTGATGTTATGTGTATATGTGTGTATGTGTATGTTATGTGTGTATGTGTGTATGTGTTGTATGTGTGTATGTGTGTATGTGTGTATGTGTGTATGTGTGTATGTGTGTAGGTGTGTATGTGTGTATGTGTGTATGTGTGTATGTGTGTATGTGTGTATGTGTGTATGTGTGTATGTGTGTGTGTTATGTGTGTATGTGTGTATGTGTGTATGTGTGTATGTATGGTGTATGTGTTGTATGTGTGTATGTGTGTATGTGTGTATGAGTGTAGTGGGTATGTGTTGTAGTCGTGTATGTCGTGTACGAAAAAATTATGTATGTGTGTATGTATGTGTATGTGTGTGTATGTGTGTATGAGTGTAGATGTGTGGTATGTGTGTATGTGTGTAGGTGTGTAGTATGTGTATGTGTGTATGTGTTGTATGTGCTATGTGTGTATGGGTGTATGTGTGTATGTGTCTGTATGTGTGTATGTGTGTTGGTGTTGTATGTGTGTAGTGTGTGGTATGGTGTGTGTGTGTGTGTAGTGTGTGGTGTGTGATGTATGTGGGTATGTGATGTATGGATGTATGTAGTATGTTTGTATGCATGTATGTATGTATTGTATGTATGTATGTATGTATGTATGTATGTATGTATGTATGTTGTAGGTATGTATGTATGTATGGATGTATGTATGTAATGTATGTATGTATGTATGTAGTGTATGTATGTAGGTATGTATGTATGTATGGTATGTATGTATGTATGTATGTATGTATGTATGTATGTGATGTATGTATGTATGTATGTATGTATGTATGTATGTATGTATACCGTATGTATGTGTATGTATGATATGTATGTATGTACGTATGTATGTACGTATGTATTGTATGTACGTATGTATTTTATGTATGTATGGAAGTATGTATGTAGTACTGTATGTAGTGTATGTATGTACGTAGATGATGTAGTATGTATGTATGTATGTATGTAGTATGTATGGAGTATGTATGTATGTATGTATGTATGTATGTATGTATGTATGTATGTATGTATGTATGTATGTATGTATGGTTATGTATGTATGTATGTATGTATGTATGTATGTATGTATGTATGTATGTATGTCTGTATGTATGTATGTATGTATGTATGATGTATGCTATGTATGTATGTATGTATGTATGTATGTATGTATGTATGTATGTATGTATGTATGGTAGGTATGTATGTATGTATGTATGTATGTATGTATGTATGTATGTATGTATGTATGTATGTATGTATGTATGTATGTATGTATGTATGTATGTATGTATGTATGTATGTATGTATGTATGTATGTATGTAGTGTATGTATGTATGTAGGTATGTATGTATGTATTGTATGTATGTATGTATTACTGTATGTATTATGTATGATATTGTAATGTATGTATGTATGTATGTATGTATGTTATGTATGTATGTATGTATGTATGTATGTCTGTTATGTATGTATGTATGTATGTATGTATGTATGTATGTATGTATGTATGTATGTATGTATGTATGTATGTATGTATGTATGTATGTATGTATGTATGTATGTATGTATGTATGTATGTATGTATGTATGTATGTATGTATGTATGTATGTATGTATGTCTGTATGTATGTATGTATGTATGTATGTATGTATGTAGGTGATGTATGCTATGTATGTATGTATGTATGTATGTATGTATGTATGTATGTATGTATGTAGGTGTATGTATGTATGTATGTATGTATGTATGTATGTATGTATGTATGTATGTATGTATGTATGTATGTATGTATGTATGTATGTATGTATGTATGTATGTATGTATGTATGTATGTATGTCTGTATGTCTGTATGTATGTAGTATGTATGTATGTATGTACTGTATGTATGGATGTATGTAATGTAAGGATTGTATGTATGTATGTATGTATGTATGTATGTATAGTATGTATGTATGTATGTATGTAGTATGTATGTATGTATGTATGGTATGTATGTATGTAATGTCTGTATGTATGTATGTATGTATGTATGTATGTATGTATGTATGGTAGTATGTATGTATGTCTGTATGTAGGGATGTATGTATGTATGTCTGTATGTATGTATGTATGTATGTATGTATGTATGTATGTATGTATGTAGGTATGTATGTATGTATGTATGTATGTATGTATGTCTGTATGTATGTATGTATGTATGTATGTATGTTATGTATGTATGTATGTCTGGTATGTAGTATGTATGTATGTATGTATGTATGTATGTATGTATGTATGTATGTATGTATGTATGTGCGCGCCCATCAGACAGTATTGTATCTAGTAGACCGGATGTTGCAGGCAGCTATCAAGGACACCCGACAACAGCAGGAGGAGCAGACAGCCCTGCAGCAGCTGGACATCCACAACCTCACGGACCTGCTTCTGGAGCAGGACATCAGGTCTCGTCTGGAGGATCAGTTTATCAGGAAATACGGTACTTCATCCGCAGACATGTGTTAGCAGTACACGTCTCTGTCCTCTCTGACAGATGATGTCACCAGAACATATCTCTGTCCTGTCTGATAGATAATATCACCAACACACATCTCTGTCCTGTCTGATTTCACCAGCACACACACCCGTTTTGTGTCATGACATAATTGCCCTGCATATTGCGTCATGCTTTCAACACCCACATTGTTGGTGGTCGCACATTATGAGAACAGTTCAGGAAGCCAGGGGTGCCTTCTGCCATGACCACCAGCAGCATGTCGATGGAGGTGATGGCGGTGACACAGGCTTTCGTGTGGCTGGTATCACAGGACTATTCCCGCCTGTGTGTGCTGAGTGATTCTCTGAGCACGATCCGGCGGGTCAAGGCAGGCTGGTTATGCAGACAGTGGCTTGAGTCGTTACAAAAACTCCTGTGTGTGCAGTCACTTTCATATTCCTCCCAGGGTATGCAGGCGTTGTTGGTAATGAGAGAGCTGATAGACTGACAGGTGCTGCAATTATTGAAGATGGCCAGCCAATGGATCACGCAGACATTGTCATTGCCTCTAGAGAGATAGGACGTTCTGAGGATTTTGGAAGCAACGTGTCCACATCACTGCTAAGAATACGCGAATTGGGAGTAAAGATCGGCACAGCCAAGCATGAGAAGCACACCAGGCGCACATGAAGTTTTTTAACTAACATAGGACTGGTACAATTAACCGCACGACGCTGATGAATATGTTGAGAAGGGAATCTGAGCGCCTATGGATGTGTCCGGGGTGCTGTCAAGAAAATGCAACTCATAACTTATACCATTATGAGTTCAGAGACCAGCTCACTTACCCCAGTCTTCTCGACTGCCAACTTAAATGACGACCAGCGAAGTACGCAGTCTCGTGTATGAACGCAATTAGCGAACTCGTTTTGCTTCGCAATATACACATCAGTCTACCCGGCTAGCCCACTAGTCATTGTAATGCTAATGCTCGACCTTCTGTGTTAGGTCCAGCTTCAGGATTAAGACCACAAGTAGACTAACTGTAGCCACTTCGAGCTTCAACAGCACGAAGAGTCCCCGTGCCCGAGCAAATTACACCGACTGCCAAGAGATTATACATCTTTCCTTTTTTTTTATTTTTTTTTTATTTAAGCATATGTTTTATTATTCTCACATGGCAAACCAAAATAAATTACTTCTTCTTAGCCATACCCTCAGTTCGCCCTCGCCTGCCCGTGGTCTTGGTGTGCCGCCCTCTGACACGAAGGCCTCAGTAGTGTCTCAGACCTCTGTGGGCACGGATTTTTTTTTCAGTAGTTCCAGATCTTCACGCAGTTTATTGTCAAGAACGTTACTTAGCACCCGAGTAAACCGCCTATCCTAAATGTCCTTCTGCCTGTTAAGAAACCAGTCTGGGATCTTGTACTGGCGAGGGTTCGTCATGACTGTAACAATGCGCTCCACTTCCTCTTCTGACAGCTCTCCAGCTCTTTTCCTGATGTCAACATTGGCCCTCTTGCACACGACAGCTGTTGCAGTAAGTCAACCATGGGTCATTAGGCAGCCCGTACTTAACACAACCGAGCCTTTTAAAGAAATACATTTTACACAAACAATTCTTGGAAAGTTGGCATTAGAGGAAAACTGACTCAGTAAGTAAAGTCAAATAAACGACCCCTTACCACGTTTTCAGGCGTATCGGGCTAGACCTAAATTTTATAAAACAATCGGCAATTGGTGTCGGCTCTGTGGCTAAGTCTAAGCGAAAGCTTCGTAATGCCGGGGTACCGGGTTCGATCCCAGTTGCGCGCCATGCGCTTTGCGTTGGTTTTGACAGTGGTATCAAGAAGCCGACCGTCCAGCAGAAATGGCAAACTACTGGACGTATTTTTGCCTAGAGAAATCACACAACAGCCAGGGGCTGCGCCTAGAGGCACGCAAAAGGATCTTTACTTTAGTTACCTTACTTGGCTAACAGCTAGACAAATCTATGATTTCCCACATACATTTAAATGTACTCGTACTATCTAGGTGCAGCCAGGGTGGCAGCTGTACATAAAACAAACACAGCCATAGAAGCTCGGAAGACAGAAGAACTGCAGAGAACCAACAGAAGAATACAGCTGGAGAATACAGTCCACGATAGCATGATGAAGATGTTAGGGGAGAAACTCAGGGAGACATCGGTGAGGTTATCGGCGAGACATTTAGGGACACCTGGGTGAGATTATAGGGAGAAACTTTGGGAGACATCGGTGAGATTGTAGGCGAGACATTTAGGGGCACATGGGTGAGATTATAGGGAGAAACTTTGGGAGACATCGGTGAGATTATATGTAAGATACTTCAAGAGGCAGTAAGATTATAGGGAAGAAACTGGGAGACATCGGTTAGGTTATCGGCGAGACATTTAGGGAAACAGGTGAGATTATAGGGAGAAACTCCGAGAGACATCGGTGAGGTTATCGGCGAGACATTTAGGGAAACAGGTGAGATTATAGGGAAGAAACTCCGAGAGACATCGGTTAGGTTATCGGCGAGACATTTAGGGAAACAGGTGAGATTATAGGGAAGAAACTCCGAGAGACATCGGTTAGGTTATCGGCGAGACATTTAGTGACACATGGGTGAGATTATAGGGAGAAACTCCGAGAGACATCGGTTAGGTTATCGGCGAGACATTTAGTGACACATGGGTGAGATTATAGGGAAGAAACTCCGAGAGACATCGGTTAGGTTATCGGCGAGACATTTAGGAAAACAGGTGAGATTATAGGGAGAAACTCCGAGAGACATCGGTGAGGTTAGCGGTGAGACATTTAGTGACACATGGGTGAGATTATAGGGAGAAACTTTGGGGGACATCAGTGAGATTATAGGTAAGAAATTTCAGGAGATAGTAAGATTGTAAGGAAGAAACCCGGAGACATCGGTGGCATTGTAGACGAGACATTTAGAGACACATGAGTGAGATTATAGGGTAGAACTTTCGGGAAACATCAATGAGATTGTATAGAAGAAATGTGATAGACACAAGGGAGAGACTTCAGAAGACATGTGACATTATAGGGGAGAAATTTCGAGAAACATTGGTGAGATTATAGGGAAGAAAGTCGGGAGATATCGGTGGGATCATAAGAGAAAAACTTCGAAAAATATCGGTAAGATTATAAGGGAGAAACTGTGCCAGACATGGGTAAGATTACAGACTAAAAAAGCCAGGAGACATAGGCGCGATTATAGAGAAGAAACTTTAGAAACCGGTAAGAATATAGAGCAGAAACTCCAGGGAACGTGGATAAGAATAAGGATGGGAAACACCAAGAGGCTTTAGGTAAAACTGGTTGAAACATTTAGTAAATATCTCATTCAAATACATATGTAGACCTGTCAATGAATCTCTCACTCTCCCCCTCTCTCTCCCACTCTTTCTGCTTTCAACAGTTCTGATTAAATGGTAAAATGAACATCCATACTGCTGCCATTAATTCTTGCTCGAAGTATCAAACCACCAGTCTCTTTTCAGAAAAAACAGTTCATCTATAGTATAGGCGTTCTGAGCCAAGAGAGAATCAATGTTTGGCACACTTTCCTTTAAATTATATTTATTTATTTACTTTTGATCCCTTTCCTGCCCCCTTTCCGTACATTAGCAAAGGCAAACAGATTTCACTTTCCCTGTTCTTTTTGCATTTTAGTACCAGAGTGTTCTCCGTTTGTGACGTTCCCTATTGGTTGTTGTGGGTTAGGTTTCTCGTTGGCTTGTACCTCGATAAAGTCTTCTATTAAAATGTAATGCTATATTTGTACATGTAGTTTTCCACCGCTAGTTGAGCTTTAGGACATATTTAGTGTTGTGTGTATTGATAAAACTGGTCTGTATTCCGAAATATCCGATCACTATCTGAATGCACTAAAAGTAAAACCTAAGGGGTATGTTGTTGTAAAGGAGGGGAAGGAGATAACTATAAAGAATAATATAAAAATATAATTCTTGAACCTATCCCTACTCAAAGCCTTCAGGAGCTCCAACACAAATTGTCATGGTGAGTGGAAGCCAACTGCCTCTAAAGCTGCCTCAGTGACAGAAGAAAAAAAGGAAAAGGTTCGTTAGGCAGGGACTAAGACCTTTAGTGTTTTAGCCCTGATGGGAGAAGTTCTGTGTGAAGTCTAATTACCAGTAACAGTAACCAGGCTCACTAGACTACAAAATGTTAGTTAACACTTACAGAAACTTTATTTGTTTGGTTAACTATCGCAGGTACATGTAACACCGACAATCGACATAAGTAAATAAATTATGATGTAAATGAACAATAAAAATAGTACTTGAACAATAGACAAAAACCATCTTTTAGTAAACAAAACTGCAATTGTCGTCTAATATCCAACTGCACACATATAACTAGACAAACTGCACCTAGATTGACCACGTGTGCGAACTAGAGGCAATATTCTGAATCAAAACATACATTGAAACCTGGATCTAATATGCTCTGACTGTTGAACATACCACCACGAAGGAACCACTGGAACATTCCATTCCTCCCCACTTAGTCCTATGTGGTGCCCATGTTGCGTTAAATGTCATGAACGACTACGCAACGGAAAGTCAACCTTACACATGTCTCGCCTTACAGCACAACTAGACAAAAGCACGCAGAGCAAACTTACTTTTACTTTTTCCTTCCACGTATGCCGCTAAGCGTTGTGGGGAGATGCAAGTTCCTGTCATAAGCAAGGCGGGAAGCATCTGATGTTCTGAGGCCATGCTTTTGGCAGGTTTCGGAGACCCCGTCAATCCACCGTTTCCTTGGTCTTCCTCTTGCCTTATATCCTGAGCTTCTTTGGTTGAAAATTTGTGATGTTATTTGATCATTTTTCATCCTGGTTAGATGTCCAAACCATTTCATTCTTTGATGTTCTATGTAGTCTAAACATGGTGTAGTTTTGACAGTGTTTCTAATGTCTATATTCTTTATCCTGTCTAGTCTGGTCTTATTCGCTGCTTTTCTTAGACATTTCATTTCACAGGCTTCTATTTTTCTTTCATGGGTCTTGTTGATTGTCCATGTCTGGCACTGGTAGCAGAGTGTTGGAATGAAGATGGTGTTTATCAATTGTCTTTTGGTCTTCATGGTTATATCTGGATGTTTAAGCAGAGGTGATAGTTGGTATGTGACAGCATTTGCTTTCTGTATTCTTGTTTCTATCTCTCTGTCCATTCTTCCATCCTCTGTAAATATACTGCCCAAGTATTTGAACTCTTTGGTTTGCTTGATTTTGGCACTTCCAACATTTATATTCAGTGGCCTGTGTGTTCTGCTGATCTTCATAACTTCTGTTTTTTCTGTACTGATTCTCATATTATGTTGTAAAACAGCTGTTGTTGAGAGTAGTCAGATGTTCCTGTAGATCATATTCATTTTGATACAGTATGCTTTGATCATCAGCAAAAAGTAATTCGTTTATAGCATACACGTCTGGGTTTGCTTCTACAGTGATCTTATCCATGTATGTTATGAAAAGTAATGGTGACAGTACACATCCTTGTCTGACACCAGTTGTGACTTTGAACCATTCAGAAAGACCACTAGATGTTCTTACTGCACTTTCACTTTTTTCATAGAGGGCTCTGATGTTGTCTAATAATTGACCCTGCACTCCGTAATCGTCAAGAATTCTCCACAGCACATCTGTCTACACGGTCGAATGCCTTCTCTTGATCTACAAAGACCACGTTCAGCTCTTTATCGTATTCGAGTGTCTTTTCACAGACTTGTCTTAGTGCAAATATGGCATCAGTGCAACCTCGCCCTTTCCTGAAACCGAATTGTGCTTTACTCAGTAGAGGTTCAACCTTTGCTCTTATCCTACCTTCTAAGATCTTTGCATACATTTTCCCCACATGACTTAGTAAAGATATTCCTCTGTAAGTTCCACATTCTCTCTTGTTTCCTTTTTTCTTCCAGATAGGTACTACAACTGATCTTTGCCAATCCACTGGTACCTTTCTCTCTGCCCATGCTCTATTGAAAATTCTCTCCAGCCAGGTGATCATAGTGTCCCCTCCAGCCTGGATGACTTCTGTTGTTATTCCGTCGATACCAGCTGCTTTGTGTCTTTTACTTGTTTTGATAACTTTCTCTACTTCATCCCGCAGGATATGTGGTTCTAGATGATCTGGAGCCCTTGAATGGAATTCTGCTGTTTCATGTACTCCCTACGGGTTCAAAAGTTCTTTAAAATATTCCTCCCATCTTTTTTTAATTTCTTTTTGGCTGAATAATGGTTTTCCATTTTTATCGTTTATGACTGATGTTGGATTGAAGCTTTCTTCTCTTAATCGCATCGCTTTCACACTCTTATAAAAGTCTCTTGGTGATTCTGTACATAGCTGTGTTAGGTGTTCACCATACTTTTTCCATGATTCCTCTTTGGATTTCTTTATTGTTCTCTTGGTGTCTCTTCGAGTTAGTCTGTACCTAATGTAATCCTTTTCGTCTTTTGTTTTTAACCATATTTGAAA